CCAGAATGTCCACTGCCCCCCTGCAACGCTGTAACTGACATTTCCTCTTGGCAACAGAAGTCCACACACACACACACACGCACACACACTCTTCCACTTACTTGGGCTTGGCACGGATAGCTGCGACCTGCGCCAGATAGGACAGGACGACGACCAAATGTCGTTCAGGTTGCAGCAACCGTACATGACAAAAAGGATTCAAGCAAGAGCTGGCCACCATCTGGAGTACATGTGGCAGATACGGTTTCACGTCCTTGCATGTGGTCTTCGTTGGCTGAGGCAAGGAAGGACGGGCATACTCCATGTGTGCAGCACATATGCCGTCGACATGAGCGAGGACATGCTTTAAAGTTCATCATTTCTCGCCTCTTCCGCAGGCGAAGCTGGTGCAGCTTCCACTGGTTCCACCTTGAAGGCTCCCATGCCATGTACTTCGAGAAAACAACAGAGCCGGTCTGCACACCTGCATCTAGGAAGAACCACTGTTAAAATTCTGCCAGCGTACAGTGAAGGACCACACAGCGCTTCAAAGAAGACACCACACCAGGACCACCACAACCACCAAGACGACCACGACCACCAGAACCATCACGATCACACGACGACCCAAACCGACCACCAGAACGACGGAGACAACGAGAACCACCACGACGACCAAGACGACCAAAACCACGAGGACCACCTCGACAACCCAAAATGACCACGACTATATAGCCGGAGAATCAGGGGACCACATGCACTGGCGGGATTAGCAGTCCACATGGACAACAAGCAAGCCTTATAGCCTGTCCCTGGCACATCGAGCCTCTTCAGGGCACCATCCCAAAAGCGTTCCCCCAATGTAAACATCTTGAGCGTTTCGACGCGGTGTGTCTGATTTTGCAATGAATCGCGCATTCGCGGAGGCCCGAGACGTGCCCGGCGCGCACACTCGCCAATTATACCGATACCTCGAATCTTTAATGCTGAACGTCAGAATCTCAATCGGCTACCACTGTTTGCGCGTACAGCAAGAACTTTCGATGTGCCTGCAAAAGCCCACGATCCTACAGCAGCACCGCCAGTAGCAAACACACAGCGGGACCTATCGCACATCCAGAGGAGCTTCTGCCCATTTCCCGTAGCAGCTGCTGGTGGGTTTGGGCACTATGCTGCGGGAAACACATCCAGGATCCGTCCCTGCTCAGATACCTAGCCTACAACACACGTCGACACCCTGTTCAGCTTCAAATCCTTATTGCAAGAATCGCCTCTTGCCACACTGGCACCTCCGACCGCAGCTGGCCAGTCTGACAGGTTCAGCAGGATCAACAGGGCCGGGGACCGAGGGTGCACCCAACAACTGTTCAAACACGAATTGAAATTTGACGTTGAGTTGTCATGACTTCTGCTTCCACTGTCAGGGTCATGTGTTTGTGATGTGAGGACCCGGGTCTCATGTCGTCCTTGATGGTCGTCGGCCTCGACTACCACAGGATTCTCCTCCGGGACTGTGACAAAGAGTCCTGGCAAGCAGTCGCTCGCCAATGCAACGCACCACCTATGACGAATGCTTGCAGTGCGCAATGCGCAGCCGAGTGCGTGCGCGCGGCCGAGAGCCGGATCTGCCGCGCTTCTTCCCGAATCCTGTAGCTGCCCTTCACGAGAGTTTAGTCAGGCTCCGGCATGAGTGTGTCGGCAGGACACCGACTACAACCGTGCTTTCGGCATTTCAGTCTTGTGACGGTAACAGCAAAGAAAAGTGCCTTCCCATGCCTTTCCCTTCCCGTGTCGAACGCTGGTGAAGCTAGCAGCCCTTCAGCTGCTCCTGCGGTACCATGGCCCATCCCGAAGCAATTGCAAGTTGCCCGCGTCGCTCAACACTGATTGAAAGGCAATTCGACTTGTCGGTCATGAACCTCTTCAGTCCATTGTATTCGCTCTTTGGCCACAGCCAAGCCTGTTTGCTTCTTTTTGCAATTTTGCGCGTGCTTAATTCCCCGACGTGCAGAACAGCATGTCTCCTCCAGCCGAGCGTGCAGAAGCCAGCTTGGTGGTCACATGTTCCAGGAACAACTCGGTGCCCTTCAAACAGCACACCATACCTCAAGGTTACGGAGCCTATGTAAAGGATGCTGAGAGCTGGGAAATCTGCACTTGCAAAGAGATGTCTTCTTGGGTGTAGAGTCACGTTCTCGGTGGGGGAGCCTGGTGACACACATGCCTGCCCACAAGCTGTGGACTCAAGATCCTCGAAGAAGAGGCCACGACGACTGGCGAAACAGTCGACCTGAAACTTCTTAAGGAAGCCAAGGGGCTGCTCCCGACAACGTTCATTAGCAGGTCGGTCGCAGAGGAAACTGGAGGGTCCTGCACCGAAGCGTATGTCTCCTGCAAGTTCAGGTGCATTGGAAAGGGGATCGATTTATTTAGAGCTCAATTGTCGGCAAACTGTCGGGATGTGTCTGAGCATCACCACCCTGCCAGAGAGGCTTCGGGGTACATGATACATACATACATACATACATACATACATACAGACAGACAGACAGACAGACAGACAAACAGACAGACAGAAATGACAAACCAAAACTTAAAAGACAACACAACGTAAAGCAAACACACAAGATACAACAAAACATGTATTGTGCACATACACGCGTCATATATGCATGTACCTACCCACCGACCTACCCACCTGCCTACATACGCACATACATCTACAGATGCACATGCCCATGCGCACGTACATGCACATTCACACGTACATGCGTACGTACATTCATACGTACATAGACGTATAGGTACATACAAGTGCAAAGGTACAGAGATCCAAAGTTGCAGAGACCCACATCGATGACAAATACATGATTACACTTTAGGTACATACATACCTACACGCCTACATATCTACATACATACGTACACGCATGAATGCATGGATCCATCCATGTAATGCGCATGCATACATACATTGCCACACGTACATATACATAAACATGCATGCGCACATACATACAAATGCACATGCATAAAGACATATACATAATACATACAGACATACATAACATACATGCATGCTTGCATGCATACATGCATACATCACATACCTACACAATCCTACACACACACACACAGACTGTTCACCCCAACAATGCCTCCTTGCCTCCGGCTTCTTTTCCGTGACCTCAAGATCAACCTCGTAGTAGCCCAGGTAGCCTTCCGGAATGTCGTCACTTGACTGGATCTTTTCCATGGCATGCCCGCTGAGGAGCTGTGGACATAGGCCCTGTATTCGTCTGTCGGGGGTCTAGGTCTTGTTGCTCAAGCTCTTCTATCTTTTGCGTAGAAGGCGACGCCTCACCAGAACAAGAACTCACTCTCGTCGTCCCAATCCATGGGAGAGTACCGAAGCCTTCCTAGGCCGGGCTTGTCTTCGTCATGATAACAGCTATAGAAGCTAACAGCTCTCCCCTGAGATCCTGTGTGACTGAGCAGCTTGTTGACATCAAACCAGACAAGCCAATTACCATGCAGAACACCAATCATGATTGCTAGGCCCTAGGCAGTCACGAAGATTGCCTTGCCACTGCCATCCCGTCTGCGGCAGATGCTCTTTTGAACCTTCAGAGAGCATTCCGGCAGACTTCGACGTTTATCTTTGTCTCTGCCTAGGTTTGAGTTGCACCGTGATTTCGTCTTGAAGGTGGGATACATATCTCGTGCCTGGCTTTCGACAGATCAAGAACTCGTGGCAACCATGTAGATGACTCGCAACGTCATCGAAGTGTTTGCCTTGGTTGTCGGCTTCACACCGCCCCTTGCCTGCGCACCAGAGAAGGCAGCTCTCGCCAAAGGCAGACTCCTGGAAATGCTCGTGCATGTTGGCGCTATAGCATGTAGGAGCGTTCACAAATCTTTTTGTCTGCATGGAGTCCTGGGACAGCCACCAGCCGGAAGGACCCCCGACTGCCCCATCATCAAAGAAGAGTGCCATTCCTTGACTTTCAATGATCTGGTGCCGGCGCATATTCCATGCAAGCTCTCCACAACAATATCTTAAATCTATAGGAGCACTTCGAAGCTGGAGTGCCCTTGGCGCTTTCTGTGTCCTTGACTGCAATGTCTAAGCAAAGTTTCGGCCTCCAACTTGGTCGTACCTCTTCATGATGGTGCGCTGCCCGACTGCCTGTCGCGTGCAAGACATGGTGCCCCAAGCTCGCCTCATCATTGCTTACCGTGGTGGTCTTTCCTAAGCATGGTCCGCACTATGCTATAAAACTTCTGACGCAGCTTACGCATCTACTCTAATCTTTCGAAATTGACGAATGCCCGATGGAGTCCACTAGCTAGCAGTAGCACAAAGACCATGCCTGCGGAACAACCCTTAAGCACACATGGTGAGGGACACCATTGTATCGGCTTCGACGTCGAAGAGTTCCAAAGGGCATTTGCGAGGGCTCGTTGGATCAGAACACGAACAAGAGCACGCCAAGCACAAACCAAGGCTTGACCATCACAAACAGAACCAAGTCACAATGCGCGCCAAACATCGCAAGCTCGCGCGACAGCTTGCGCGGAATGCTACGGAATTAATGGAGGCAAGCAAAAGGAGAGACCCGTATTGAAAGCAAGAAACCTTTCAGTATGAGTACGATGACTGTGCGTGTGGCCTAACTTAAGATATAGATGTTAGTAAGTCCCTTATCCCGTTGCAACCCCCTTAACTCTGCTGTTCATGTAGTAGGTCCATAAGGGAAGGGGAACTGACAGGGACAGGGACTACCCTACCCTGCCCTACCCTACCCTGCCCTCCGCTGCCCTACCCTACCCTACCCTACCCTACCCTACCCTACCCTACCCGACGCACCCACCCACCAACCCAACCTCACCGATGGAGGGACGGAGCGACAGAGGGAGGGAGAGGGAGGGAGGGACCCTGAACTTTTTATGAACTTTTTCGCCTTGGTTTTAGGAACTTTTTATGAACTTTTTAACTGACAAAATACTGTAAAATGCAATGTCTCACAATTCTTATATGAACTTTTTCGCCTTGGCTTCATGAACTTTTTATGAACTTTTTCGCCTTGGTTTTATGAACTTTTTGTGAACTTTTCGGAATGGGTTTCTGAACTTTTCCTGAACTTTTTGGTGTGCCAACGGGAGGGTTCGGTGGCTGGGGTTGGGTGGGTGGGGGTGGGTGGGGGATGGGTGGGCGGATGTGGGTGTGTGGGTGGCGCAGTGGGTGGGTGCGGGCGGGCGGGTGGGTGGGGTGGGCGGGCGGGGTGGGCGGGCGGGGTGGCGGGTGGGGTGGATGGGGTGGATGGGGTGGATGGGTGGTGGGTGGGGGGTGGCTCCCTCTCCCTCTCCCTCCCTCTCCTCCGTGAGGTTGGGTTGGTGGGTTGGTGGGTTGGTGGGTGGGTGGGTGGGTCTTCCGGTCTGTTCGGCTAAAGGTTTAGGGTTTACGGGCTTTTTTTCCCTCCCACTTAGCAAGGACGAGCCCGCATTGCAGGGTGTTCAGTCGGAGTAGGCAGAAACATGCGGGGCACTGTAGGGCATCTCCAAAGCAGTTCACAGCACCATTGACCAGACTGCCAAACGGGCTTAGGGTTTAGGGGTTGTTGTTGTGGTTGTTGTTGCTGCTGGTGTTGCTTGCCTTAGTGTTGTTGGTGCTGGAGCTGGTGCTGGTGGCATGTGTCTTTTTGTCTCACTTGCTGTTGTTTATCTCTTTTGTTTTGGACTTTCTTTATCACTTTTTCTACATTATGTTACCTTATGTTAACTTTGATAGAACTTATCTAACCTCCTAGTAACATCTATATCTTAGCCTAAGCCACACACGCACACTACTAGTATACTAATTGCGGTATGTCTTGCGAGTATTTGTGTCTCTTTTCCTTCTTCTGCTGCGGGGCGGCATTTTTTTAGGAACGGCTACAAGTAGTGGGGAATTCCGTGTGTTGCGGCAAGCTGGTGGGAATTCCGAGGCGCAGGAATTGGTGCCCTGCTCCTCTGGTCTTCAAGTCTTCTGCATGATCTTGTGGTCCCTCCTTGTGCTTGGGTCTGGCGGTCTCTGGCCTTTTGGTCTTCTGGCCTGGTACGTCTATACATGCACTCCGCCTACATTGCATACTTCATCGAGGAACATGTTGGAGTGATTTTTGGGACCGCATCGGACATTGATTGCTGAAGACCTTGTAGAACCTCTGGTATTTGTTGACTTTAGCTTGGTATTGTGGTCGCACATAGCACAGAAACAACAAAAGCGCGGGGTACGGGAGCGGAGAGCATGTCCATCCATCCATCCATCCGTCCGTCCGTCCGTCCGTCCGTCCGTCCGTCCATCCATGCATACGTGATGCACATACATCCGTCCATCCTTTCATCCATGCATGCATGCACGACCCTCGAGACAGCTCAATATCGAACCCACAAGCCACCCGCTGTTTACGAGTCGGGAATGACTGGACACGAAACTAGATTGAGTCGCGAAGCTTCATCATCAATCCGCGCAAGACTTCCGGGCATGGGTACGGTCTTGCCCGTGGGCTCGGCACCTGGTAGTACTGCGTTGATTGCCTCGTAGCCTCTGGCACTGGCGTGGCCAGAATGGCAATGTACTCACCTGCCGCTGGCATCGCTTCAGAAAGGCAAGAACCAAAACACAAACTTGTGTCGCAAGCCCTGGATCCTCATCCCAAACAGTTGCCCTAACTGCACCATGTGCGATGCAAGCGCTGGGCCTCAGATGCCAATAGCAGCCCCTTCCAATCCAGAAGGTTCAGTACAGTGTAGCACTTGCGGATCGAGCCTAGGACATCTCGAGACGCATCGGGCAGCTCGTAGATGTTTGTCCGTGGCCGCTGGCTGAGAACCACCGAAGCCTGGTCTATGCTTTCCACTGAGGCCGGCTCTGCTTATGAGTTTATTGTGCTTGATTGTTGTTGTCGTTGAAATCGTAGCTGTCGTTGTTGCTTTCACTGTCTGTGTAAACTTTCCAAACCGTCTGCGCGCATCTTCGCTTGTTTTGTGCGACCCTTGTCTGTTCCATGGTTGACTCCGGGGTGATCTTCTCGTTCTGGGCCAATTGACATTGACCAACCTCATTCAAGCTCGCTGGCTCCCTCTCTCGGTCTATGTTGACTATCTCTATCAAGGATGCCAAAGAGCAGGAAGGTGCCCGCTTGTCATGGCCAAGAACCATTGGAGTCCGACTGGTAGCTAGACTGAGATGTCAGCTTGCCTCCGACTACGCCTCTTGCGTGTGGCTACAACTGGCCTTATATGGACTCCACTGCACTCGCTTGCGGGTAGTGATGGGTGTCCAACTCACCTGATGCTGTAACATCGTACAACACCTGCCAATGACATGCACCGAGAGCAGTCAACCCTTTTTAAATCTGATGCAGCAGGATAAGCTACGTGCTCGATAAGATGCATGCCGTAAACAGCCACAAGGGTGAGCTAGTTATTCACATGATGCAAACACGGCTGCCCGAGACTGAGCTGAATGTGCAGCGGATGCTGTTCACTCTTGTTTTCCCTCTGTGTCGTTGTCTCCAGCTCCGCAATCAAAATAATCACCAATGCTACCATAATGTCAACCTGGCTGTCATCGTCCAAAGCCCGCCTTCATCACATCCGCTCCCTACTAGATCGATTAATAAAAGCACCTTTCCTCATCCTACAACCTCAATAACGTCTGCAATCTTGCTACCGAACGGTGTATTCTAGTAAAGGTTGCTTTGTCCGGGATCCATGGCGGTGTGATGCATACTCACGTACACCAGTTCGTGTAGTTGTCGAGAGCTTATTGCTGTCACCATGTTGGGCTTGCATGTCTTATAATAAGAACTTTGCCATGTATCTGCTCGAAATTCGGCCGCCAGCCGGCTGCATGACTTACTTCATGTCTGTCTGGCTGCCTGCCTGCCTGCCTGTCTGTCTCGGTGTCTGTCCCTGTGTCTGTCTCTGTGTCTCTTTCTTTGTCTGTCTCTGTGTCTGTGTGTCTGTGTGTCTGTGTGTCTGTGTGTCTGTCTGTCTGTCTGTGTGTCTGTGTGTCTGTGTGTCTGTGTGTCTGTGTGTCTGTGTCTGTCTGTCTGTCTGCCTATCCGTCCGTCCGTCCGTCCGTCTGTCTCTCTGTCTCTCTGTCTGTCTCTCTGTTTCTGTCTCTTGCTTGCTTGCTTGTTTGCTTGGGGTTCGGGTTCGTGGGGGAACCCCGGCCCGGAGGCCAACCCCCTAGCTGCGCGTCTGAGTAATGGGGAGGCGCCTTTCGGGGTCCGTCCCCAACAACCGACCCCTGCTAAGACCATGACCATTGCACGGACCACAAGGCACTTTCAATGCACTTTCTGTCTCTGTCTGTGTCTCTGTCTCTGTCTGTCTCTGTCGGTCTGTCTGTCTCTGACTGTCTGTCTGTCTGTCTGTCCGTCTGTCTGTCTGTCTGTCTCTGTCTGTCTGCCGCTCCGTCTTGCTTGCTTGCTTGCTTGCTTGCTTGCAGGGGGTATGGGGGCGAACCCCCAGGCCGGAAGGCCGACCCCATCGTGCTAAGCCCATGACCATGAGCAACCGTTCAGGCATCACTGGGGTCATCCAAGCGTCTTCCAGATACTGCTGCGGGAGGGCTTTCCAAACAAACAACAGCAAGTCAGCATGTAACAAAAGTAGGAAAGCAGGAGACTCGACCGTTATCCTGCCAGCTGCTTCTCCCCCGCTGGTCGAGAGTTCGACTCCCTCAGTCAAAAGAAAGACACCCTGTTCACCCCCACCTTACCTGCCTCCCCGCATGACACCGAACAGAACTTCGCACAGCACTACCTGGGCCTTCCCACACCATCCTAGAAACCTTCGAACAACTGCTGCCAGTACTGGGGCTAACTGGGGCCAAGGCAGTAATGTCCCAACGCGAAACAGGACTACAATGTACAACCACCTCTTGCAGGCCTCGTAGTGGGTAGCAGCGATCAGTGAGGCACATCAGCGCCAGGCTTGCTACCGGCAGCCAGTGTCCCGACTCCACATTCAAAACAAGTAATTTCAGGGAAGGCCTGCATGCACAAAGATACTACCCTATCAATCATCATTGTCTATGGAGCTGGGGCTCGTGAAGCTGCGTCGTCTGCGGGCACCGTTCTCCTGGTGGTCTTTGGCCGGTGGGTCGCGTAAGTGGCGTAGAGAAATTGGCCGCCCCTTCAGGTAGTGGAAGGTGTTGTCGAGGTAGTGCGGCTCCCCAGCTGCGGTCGTCCGTTACTGCTGCGTTTTCTTCCAGCGGGCGGCCTGGTCGTCCCCGCTCTCCACCAGCTGGATGCGTTCCCGCCAGTGTTCTTCGATTCACGCGGACAGGTGGTATCCGAGGTAGGGAAGCACCTCCTAGCCGTGGGTGGCGTCTGGAGGATCGCGACCTGCTCGGCGTGGTTGTTCCTCTCCCCGCCCCCTGCGATAGGCGGACGACGTCAGCTGGGTGAACTTGTTCAGCTTGCATGTCCCCTGCGACGGTAAATTCCCACTAGGACGCGAACCTCCCTCGCCGCCTCAAGTTCGAGCAACTCAGCTTGAGAAGGTGTTGCCCCCGCCATCATGCTTTCTTCCATGATGCCCACCATCATCGCAGCGATCTCGAAGGCGTTGGTGGTGTGCAGGCTTCTGTCCGCCTGCAGAGTCCCCCGGCCATCTGAGGGGTTTGTAGCTGCGCCAGTCTCGTGGCGCCGGCCCCCAGGTGGTCCGCCACTCCAGGTAACCCCACTGCATGGGCAAGGTGCATTGCCATGGCTTCCAAAATATGCTCCGTCGCTGCCTCTGCACTCCACTGCTCTTCCCCGCCCGTCGTGCGCGGTCCCCTTCAAGGTCAGAAATCGTTGGCTGCGGCGGGCTGCGGCTTCGGTTTTCCCCCTTCGGAGCGGTTGTGGTAGAGGTCGATGGTCACGATGTGAAGGTCCCTTGGAATTGTCCCCACTGTTGATGCATGAGGTTGTTCTCCTCGGAGTCGCTCTCCTCTTGCCCCCTGGTCTCAGGCTCGATGTAGATCTGCAGGAGGTTGTTGGTCTCCGTGTGGTTGTTGTCCTCCTCGTGGCTGGCGTTAGCGGGTTCGGTTGTCCAGGTGCTGGTTCGGCGTTGCGGTGTCCGCGGGTTGTGTGCATTCATGCCGTCGATGTACTCGCCCAGGATCTCTCCTGTGGTGACCAGCCACTGGTCGTCAACAACAGCAGGCCTCCCCCCCATGTGTTTGTTCCAGGACGTAGAGCAGCTGGATGGCGAAGTCGTAGCCCCCCCAAGTCTCCCGCTCCCCTCGGTGGTGGGTATAGTGTAGTCGAAGGAGTAATTGACGTGCACAAGCATTGCGTTGGGGAAAGGGCATAGTTAGGAGTTCCGTCTTGATCTGCCGCAAGTTCCCCCGCCATCCGCCCATGTGAACTCTTCTTCTCCATCGGGTGGTGCTTTGGTCGTCTCGTAAGTTGGAGGAGGCCGAATTCATCCCCACATCCAGAGGCTATGTCATGCGAGCTTGAGCATGGTCTTTAGGAAGGCCGCTCCCCTCGGACATCCTCCAGGAGAGTGTCGTGGACGGGGGCTGCGATCTGTAGTTGTTCTGCCAGTCGGAGTAGATCGTCTTGCAGCGTGGCTGCGTCAACCGTGGGGAAGTCCCCCACTGACTCATCGTATAGTATAGTTCAGGAAGATTTCCTCCAGCACGTCCCTGGCGAGTTCCACGCGTCCCGTCCTGCTTGCAGTCCCCCCAGGTCGGAGCTGCGGAGGGAGGTGGCGAAGTCTCCAGCTGCGTCGTCCCGGAGAGACCCAATCTCGCTGAGTTCGTTGCGGACAGGGATAATAGGGATAGGCGTTCCGCTGATAGTGTCCCGCAGCACGTGTCTCCATGAGCGTGCTACTATCTATCGCCGCCCCTGGAGTTGTTGCTGCACCTGTTCGCCATCGCGGTAGTTGTCCCCCGTGAAGAGAGCTTGTTCGGGTAGGCGTGGATGAGGTTGCGTCCCCGTCTGGTTATGTTGTGATAGATGAAGTTGCGATTGTGTCCCACCATCCTGCCTGCTAAAAGATGATGCTCCCGGTCCGCCTGTTCTCTCTGGCTGTCTTTCTGCTGGGCAGAAGATTTGAGTGGCCGCTCCACCTAAAGGAATGCTATATGTATGTTTTCTCCTTCCATCAATCTATCTCCGTATCTGTTTATCTATGTATCCTTCTTCCTATCTATCTATCTACCTATCTATCTGTCTACCTACCTACCTACCTATCTATCTTTCTATCGATCTACTTATCTGTCTATCTATCTGTCTATCTATCTATCTATCTATCTCTTGCTCTATGTATATGTATGTATGTATGTATGTATGTATGTATGTATGTGCTAGCATATGTATGTATGTATGTATGTATGTATGTATGTATGTACGTATGTATGTAGGAATCAATGTATGTATGTAGCACTGCATATCTACTTTGATATGGACATATCTATGCATGCATATATTTTAGCACTTGCGTGCGACGAGGTCAGGCAATGCATATACACACATATATACATATATGTATATGTCTGTATATGTATATGTATGTGTGTATATATATACACGTATGCATATATATATATACAATATCTGTGTGTGTGCCCATGTGTATGTCAGCATGCATAACTGCATGGACGCAGGCATGCATCTCTGTATGAATAATGCAGAAGCTTTCGCAGTGTGAATAGATACATAGTTGTATAAATACATACACACACATGTATGAATATATATATATACACAAAAATATCTTACCTTTATGTAGTTAGATTCGCACTAGTAACTGAGAACTACAGGGAGTGACAGATGGATGGATAGATCGAGAGATTGGTGATAGGTACGTAGCCGGACAAATACATAGACATAGACATACACATAGACTCGATAGATAGGCGGAACAGTGCATGTATCGACAGATAAACAAAAGGCCAGACAGACAGACAGACAGACAAACCGACCAAACGAACAAACAGCCAAACAGGTAGGTGGATAGGTAGGTAGGTAGGTAGGTAGGTAGGTAGGTAGGTAGGTAGGCAGGCAGGCAGGCAGGCAGGCAGGCAGGCAGGCAGGCTGGCAGGTAGGTAAGTAGTTAGTTGTTTGCCCTATCGCATTGCAGAGCTCAAAACTCACAGTGAGGTTACCTACGGGCTACAAGCGACGTACAGCAAAAGAGGTACTGGAGTAGGTAGGTCGTTAGGTAGGTAGATAGGTAGGTAGGTAGGTAGGTGGGTAGACAAACGTAGATATGTAGATAGTCAGTTGACCCAATTTATGGGTTAATTCAGGACCGCGGCCTGTGCGCCTGCTCCCGCTCTTGCTGTTGCTCCCGCTTTTGCTCCTGCTCTTGCTCTTACTCTTACTCCCTCTCTTGCTGTTGCTTTGCTCTTGCTGCTGCTCTTGCTCTTGCTCTTGCTTTTACTCTTGCTCTACGGGCAATGTGTTTTACTATTAGGGGGTGTGTAATACAAGGGGGAAGCGGTCAGATGATTAGACAGACAGATAGCCGGATAGCTTGAGAAATAGCTAAATAAATTGATCCACACATAACTTGCTACGGATACTCCTGAGCATATTCACGGACTACGGCTGTGCTCACGTTGACGGCTACCTGTAACTACCCATCTCTCCTTCGTCCAGGACCTAGACTCAGGCATGATCAAGCCCAGCACGTATTTGCTCATATCCACATGTGCTGGGCTGCATGGGTCTCTCAAAGACTTTTTCACTGAGATTTCTCGATGAGGCAAATGTTGAGCCAGCAGCGGAGGAGTCCCACATCCTGGAAGGGAGCGTAGGACCGAGGCCACTTGGCGAAGAGGCCGCGGAGAAGGGAAGCAACGAAAAAGAAGGCCGTGCCTGGTCGTTCTTGCCCTTTGGTCGTCATGGGTTCGAGGGAATCATAAACATTGTAGGAGGTGAGGCCTAGATCCTCCATGTAGTACTGGCCTCCGGGCTTCAAGGAGGGATACAAGCTCAGGAAAGTGGTCACAAGGTCGGAGCTGTTGTGTGAACCATCGTCGACGACCAGACTGAGCAACCCCTGCGGGCATCCTCGCAGGAACACGTCATGTTTCAACCGCTCCAGCTCCAGAACCGCGCCTGCATCCACTACATGAACGCTGTAGTTTTGCTTCTGAAGCCAGGTCGAAAGATTCTGAACGCAGGGCCCGTCGATTTCCAGAATGTGCACTTTGGCACCTGGAAATACGACCGGCCAAATGCCTGCAGAGAGAGCAACCCCCCGAACGAATGCAACGCAGCCGAAGCCAATCTCCAGAAAGCATCCGGCACCACCATCGTGATCCAGGCGTCTGGGCAGCGTCCGGTGGTAGAACAGCTCATAGCGGTGATAGGTGACTTTGTCCGTCTGATATTTCAAGGCTTCAGAAAAAAATGGGTGCTGGCCTCTCACTCGCGCTTCCCATCTTAAGTAGTTGGCAGCTGCGTTGTGATAGTCCTGCGAAGGCAAGTTTGCAGAAATGGCTTTCTGGGCAAGGCAGCCGCAAGGGTCGCAGCTAATTTCGTCTGCATTGCTGATGGCAGGCATAGGACCTGGCTTCTTGTACCAGTGTCTCTGCTGCGTGGCGAAAAAAAAGAGGCGCAAGAGCTGTAGCACATCAGAGGTGGGTTTCGAGACGCGCAAGGCCAGCAGCGAGTGTGCTGATAGCTCGGCCCAAGCCCGAATCACACCTTGCATGTCGTCCGCCGTTCGCGCTCCACGAAGGTCCAGCACAAGGAAGAGTCCACGGCTGGAATTTCTCCGGGGCTGTGGGAGATAAAGATCCTCCAAACTTCTCTCCACCTTCAACAGCCTCCTGGCTGGGATCACCGGATCTCCAAATTTCCTGACGAGCCGATCAGGCCACCCTTCACAGTCGTAGCCGAAAGCACTTCCACCTAAGCCAAGGACGCATAAGTACGCATCAAGGAACCGTCGTAGACGCATATCTCATCACTATATATCGTCCTCGAACGGAGACCTCAAAGGCATGCTACCAACCTTTGCATGTGCATGTGAATTCATGTAGGCTGGTCTTGAATCCTGCCAGCAAACTACACTACTTCAGAGCCAGGCTACCGGTGCTCAACTAGTTGGAGTCGCACGTGGTCGAGTCAAGATAGAATCGCGTTTGCTGTCAGCGCCTGCTCACCTACAAGTGTCTCAGCCCGCAGCACAGTTTTGCCGCCTGCTACCCTGGCTCTTGCAGTAAATTCCGTCGCACCCTTGGCGCGAATGCCTCCATCGTGACCAATCCGTCCATGATGGCACATGTCGTCAACTAGCCACATCTGGCGATCGTGATTTCAGACGTATCTGCACAAAAAGGGACTCTGACCCAAGAAGGCATTCGCAGCCAAAGCTCGGACATTGACCGTCCGCAATGGCTCGTCCTTTCTGCATGTGTAGTTAATCGTTTCATCGCCGGCTTTTCTGTTGAGGCTTCGGGTTCCGCATTTTGGGGATTGGGGGTCTTGCGGTCGTACATGTGGTGAAACATCTCGATGATGTCGGAACTGCAGCCAAGTCCAAGAGGACAACTCCGGCGAGGAGACCTTCAGTCGGAAACAAACACACGAGCAATCTGATAGCATCTGATATGTATCTGCATGTGTGCGTGTGCGTGCACCCACCGCTTGCGCAAAGACGCCCACAAACTGACCTCACACCCACACAAAAGATTGCCATCCGCCTGCTCACGCTGTACTCCTCATGAAAACCTGCTGCTGTGATGGCTTCATACCAAAATCGCCACACTGTGGCTGCAGGCCTTTGGAGCATAGTGAAACCAGAACCACTGATCTCGGTGTCGCACGGGGGTCCGCCACACAGTTTGCTTGACCCAGTTTGTTCGACCTCCTCTCTGAGTCACCTCTCTCTCACACTGACCCATGCGTCCACAGACCACCCACCCACCCACCCACCCACCCACCCACCCACCCACCCACATGTCCATGCATGTGTGTGCGAGAAGCAAGCACCTGCCTTCGCGCCATGCAAGGAAGGGAGTTGCTGTGTTGTGAAGGTCTTTAGGTCCGGCCGTGGAGTCTGAGTCTTTCGGAAGTGGGAAGAAAGGTCGACCAACTTTGTCGACAAAATCCCACATGGGTTTCGTCTCGAAGCACTGCCATAACCTCCACACGAAGTGCAGGGAGTAACAACTTTCGATCGAATCGAAGGTGCCAGGTTGCATGTTGACGATGGCTATCCATCCTCAGGACCTGCACAGCTGGGACTCGTTGCATCACTGCGACCATGTAACCCGAAGTCTCAAAGTAAAGTATCACCCTAAGTCCACGTAAACGGCTTCATAATCATAGACACACAGAGACACTTGCTCCGCACCTAACGAGCTGTTGGACAGATTCACGAGCATCCACCTATGTCGCTGCCCTTTTTCCAGAGTCGTGTCCTGCCGACTGTCTGCTATTGCGGGGCAGAGCATGTGGCGTCGTTACCGGACTACGGCTCCTACGGCGCCTATTTTTAAACACCC